GTCCCCTGCATCGGCAGGCGGACTCTCAACCACTGCGCCACCAGGGAAGCCCCACATTACTTTTTAAAAGTGATCTTTCATCCCTAGAATAATTACTAAATGTATCTTGAATATCTTTGCTTCTTTTCTTTTCCGATTTGATAAAGAAATCTTTTCAAGCACCCACAACTATTGTATGAGGCCATTTCAAGCTACTATGTCTTCCAAATAGTACCCGTGCTGTTCAAACAAGGTAACTAAGAGAGGACCCCGCATTATAAAGTACTTTATAAGGAACCAAATACATACAAGATGACACCCTCCTTATGAGGGATTTTTTCAAAGAATATCTAACCTTATATTCAAGCATATGTGATATCTGTGTGTGTGTATGTGGCATATAAATAGCATATATATATGTGTACACAGACACACATACACATAGAAATCATCTATATACTACAGAAATTTTCTGAAAGAAAAAAAAACAGAAAAGGCAAAAACAAAACTGCAGTACAATGTGTTATTCAGGCTGTTGTCAGCCACTAAGGCACTTTTATAAGTATTAGAAAATGGTGTGCCTTACTCTGGGTTGATGGCCCCCACTCCCTACAGCCTGACTTGGAGAACACAAACTGGATTTTAGCCCCAACCTGTCCCAATGGGCACTGTCTTTATGCAGTGAACAACCTGCTCAACCAGACATGGTGGACCTGAGAATCATCCTCTCCCATCTCTGGGCAGCCTTCTCACACTAACCCATCACAGAGTAGTCCAGGGCAAATACCCCCTCAGGCAGAACTCAAGTCCCTTCTGGATCTTTTTTATAATTATCCAAAGTGAATAAAGAAAAAAGGGAATAGAAAAATAGCAACCAGTTGACCTAAGAGAGGCAAAAGAGTAAACTTTACTCTTATGCAAAATTCTAGTCCGTTTATATAATTAAAGCTTTCTGCTTTGTCTAAAAGGTACTTTCTCATCTGTAATGATAAGACTGGCTTACCAGTTAAACTATGAAGAGTCTTCCTTTACAAAGGACCTATAATACTAACACAAACCATTGGTTTATATAAATCATTGGTTAAGAGGTTTATCTGTTTTCCACATTAGCCATTATTTGGGACACAGAAAGAACTAATGATGTTTTCATGACTATACTTGCACATTTATGCACTTCATCACAAACTTAATCAAAACCTATACCTCAATTTTCACTTCAGGCTCAGGAAAACCTTCATTTTCCTATGAATCTTTTACCAGTCCTTTCTATAGACAGAACACTTACATGCCCCCCCAAAAAGTTTTAATGTTTAAAAAAATGTTAAAGGCTTGAACAATTAAAATACACATGATATCTCAGACTTTGAGATGACTCCACCTTACAAATACCACCTGAAAATCTCTTCAGGAGAGTCCATAAAGCTAATCTGCATATAATAGGGAACACAAAGGTAGAGATTTCTATTAGGAATTACATATTCCACCTTGACCAGATTAAACAGCAAGAGACCTGTCCCAAAGATGAACAAGCACCACTGGAGGCTGAAATTCCACTTAAAATAAATACTTCAGTAAAATTATTATAAAAACAACCACTTCTCAGCTCAGTTGAGGTCCAGTGCATCAGACAGACGGAAAACATTATAACCTGTAAGGCTGTATCAAGAGGATAAAATTCTTTTATATATATATAGTAGTCTGTATCTGTTAATCTCAAATTCCAAATGTATCCCTCCGCCTCCCTTTCCCCTTTGGTAACCATAAGTTTGTTTTCTATGACTGTGAGTCTATTTCTACTTGTAAATAAGTTCATTTATATCATTTTTTTAAGATTCCACATCTAAGTGATATCATATGATGTTTGTCTTTCTCTGTCTGACTTCACTTAGTATGACAATTACTAGGTCCGTCCGTGTTGCTGCAAATGGCATTATTTCATTCTTTTCTTATGGCTAAGTAATAATCCACTGAGTGTGTGTGTGTGTATACACACACACACACACACACACACACATATATATACACACCACATTTTCTTTATCCATTCATCTGTTGATGGACACTTAAGTTGCTTCCATGTCTTGTTATTGTAAATAGTGCTGCTATGAACACTGGGGTGCAGGTATCCGAAAGGATAAAATTCTACAAGAATGTTCCTACAATACAGCAAGCAGAATATAAGTGGTCTTTTTCCACTGGGAATTTTAATTTTAATACTGTGAGCATTGTTATATCTCTATGACAGGAGAGAATGGGGTCAGGAAGTCACTCAACTTAAGGCCACACAGATGAAATCTGCTCTGTACATCAACATTCACATCCTGTAATTCTACTGATTAACTAATGAGATCAATTATAAATAGCACTATTTATCAACTTAAAAAGAACCTTTGGTCACATGTGCCTTGGTGAAGTCAATCGGGAATGATTATTAGATTAAACTGGTAATTCATGAACATCACACATTTCTTAAAAATTAAGATTGCTTTATAAAAAGGCATAGTCACTTTGAGCATAACTATAGAGAAACAAGCCCTCTCATACTCAGGAGTGCACAAGGGTACAATTCCGATGCAGGGCAACTGACAACTCCTATCGAAATTCAAATGAATTCCCTTTGATCCCCAAATCCTACTTCTAAGGATTTTAATTTCTTACTTGTACCATGTTCTGAAGAATGTATATACAAGTTTACTCACTGGACCACTATTTGTAGACCAGAAGCTTGGAAACATATTAAAAACCACTTAGTTGCATACTTAAAAGGTTGAATGTTATGGTGTGTGAATTATATCCCAACTAAAAAAAAAAGATTAGAAACAATGCCAGTGTCCATCCACAGAGGATGGTTAAATAAATGCTGGTACATCCACACAATAAAATACAAAGCAACAGTAAACAAGACCGAGGAAGTTCCCTTTAGTGAAACAAAGAGCTCTCCAGGACACATGGGGAAGTGAGAGGCAAGGGAAAGAATATCTGCTTGTACTTGCATAAAGAAACATAAAGGACATGTGACAAACTACTCAAGTGGTTCTCTCTCAGGGGCAGAGGTGGGAAACAGCTAGAAGGGGCCAGGGATGGAGTAAGGCTATACAAAGTATTTCCTTTTGTATTGTTCTGATTTTTTTTTTTTTTGCGGTATGCGGGCCTCTCACTGTTGTGGCCTCTCCCGGTGCGGAGCACAGGCTCCGGACGCGCAGGCTCAGCGGCCATGGCTCACAGGCCCAGCCGCTCCACAGCATGTGGGATCTTCCCGGACCGGGGCACGAACCCGTGTCCCCTGCATCGGCAGGCGGACTCTCAACCACTGCGCCACCAGGGAAGCCCTGTATTGTTCTGATTTCTGATTTTTGAACTCTGTAAACATATTGCCTATTCAACATATTACCAATTATCAACTCAAGTATATTACCTATTAATTCTTCACGTGGAATTCAGTACAAACATGGAGATGACATGACATGATTTTCGGCTTGATATTAGACAGTGCATACTTTTGTGATATATGATAAAGTATTTCGGGGGTAGACTTGTAGACTAGCAGAGTAAAGAGTGAAGAGGGGGAAGAGAAACAGCTCTGACAATTTCTTTGTGTCAAATGTCAAGCAGTCAGTAAACACACACGACATTCAAATGCACTCTGGAGTGGAGGCAGAAGGCGCTCGTGTTTGACTGTCACATCTGGCTAACTGCTGCTCCTCCGCCTGAGATGCAGATAAATCCACACAGCTGGGCCTTACAGCACACTGCTCTGCTCACAGCTTCTTTGCTGTCACCCTGGTGTCAAATACATCAAGCTGTTCACACATGCCACACAGAAAGCCAGAGGGAGTGCAAAACCTCAGCTCTCCCACCTGCAGGAGGAGCACTGAAGACCCCTCCATGAGGGCTACAACCACCTCCGTAGCTCCTGCAAGGAACGGGTACACAGACACAAGGCCTTAAGTAAAACACATTGCAACTCAAAACCATAAAGGTTGGATGTCAGAAACTTTAACCCTAATAAGCTTCTGACTCACTGTGAAAAGTTAAGTTGTATCTGAGCTTCCATATCTTGTCAAATAGGCATACAGTTTGTGAATCTTACAGTTATTACCTAAAAAGATTAACTGGATCATGACTCATAATGTGAAGGTGTATCTTTCACAGATGAAGCGTATTTTCCAT